TGATTCAAAATTGGGGGAAAATGTGTGTCAGGGATGCATCTTGTCCCCATACCTTTTCAGTCTGTATACAGAACAGATCATTTGGAAAGCAGAGGTTTATGAGGAAGAATGTGGCATCAACAATCTTCAATGTGTAGATGACACAACTTTGCTTGCTGAAACTGAAGAGAACCTGAAGAACTTGCAGTGAAAGATCAAGGATTGTTGTCTTCAATATGGATTGAAACTCAACATCAAGAAGACAAAGATTCTCACCACTGGGCCAACTGACAACATCATGATAGATGGAGAAGAGATTGAGGTTGTTAGCAATTATAGCTTACTCGAATCTACAATCAATACTCTTAATACCAGCAGTCAGGAAATCAAAAACCGAATTGCACTGAGAATATCTGTTGTCATGGGCCTATCCAGAGTGCTGAAGAACAATGATGTCAATCTAGATACAAAAGAGCGCCTGAACCAGACCATGTTGTTGTTATGTGTCATCGAGTCGTTTGTGATTCATAGCGACCCTAGGTACAAGAGCCCTCCCTAAACGCCGTTCTATCCTGTGCCAACCTCGCCGTCTCAGACACATTCATTCCCACCACTCCAGTCACAGAATCGATCCATCTCATCGAGGGTCTTCCTCTACTGTGCCATCCCTCCACTCTTCCAAACATGATGTCCCTCTCCAAGGACCAGTCCCTCCTTGCAACATGCCTAAAGTATGTCAGACGAAGCTTCAGAATCCTTGACTCCAAGGAGCAGTCTGGCTTCGCCCTCTCCAGGACAAACCTGTTTGTTCTCCTAGCAGTCCATGGATATTCAACACTCTTCTCCAGCGCCACAGCTCCAATGCATCAATTTTCTTTCTATCATTCCTATTCACTGTCCAAGTCTCTGATGCATAGCACGTAATTGCAAAGACTATAGCCTGGATCAGGCGCACCTTAGTCTCCAGCCTGATGTTATTGCTCTTCAGTACTCTTGAGAGGTCACTCACAGCTGACTTTCCCAATGCAATTCGTCTCCTGATTTCCTGGCTGCTGTTACCAAGAGTGTTGACTGTGGAACTAAGTAAACTAAAACTGTTAACTATCTCAATGTCTTCACCATCCATACTGATGCTGCCAATTGGCCCAGTGGTGAGAATATTTGTTTTCTTGATATTGAGCTTCATTCAATCCATATTGAAGACTGCAGTCCTTGACCTTCTGCAGCAAGCGCTTCAGGTCCTGCTCAGATTCAGCAAGCAGTGTGTGTCATTCACATAATGTAGGTTGTTGATGATTCTTCCACTGATCCTAATGCCACATTCCTCCTCGTACAGCCCAGCGTCTCGGATGATCTGTTCTGCATACAGATTGAAAAGGTATGGAGACAAAATACATCCCTGACGGACCCCTTTCTTGATGTTGAACCATCCAGTGTCTCCTTGCTCTGTTCTGATGACTGCCTCTTGGTCTGTATAGGTTTTGCATTAGCACGATCAAATGTTCCGGGATTCTCATTCTACTCAGAGTCAGCTACAGCTTGTTGTGATCCACACAGTCAAAAGCCTTTGCATAGTCAATGAAGCACAGATAGACATTCTTCTGTATTCTTTACTTTCTGCCAAGATCCGTCTAACATTAGCTGTAATATCCCTAGAAGCACAACCTCTTCTAAGTCCAGCCTGCACATCTGGCAGTTCTCTGTTGACATATTGTTCCAAATGATTTTTGGATAATTTTCAGCAGAATCTTGCTTGCATGTGATATCAATGATACTGTTTGATAATTTCCATACTCTGTTGGGTCACCTTTCTTTCGAATGGGAACAAATACCGATCTCTTTCAGTCAGTTGGCAAGCTGGCTGTCCTCCAGATTTTCTGGTACAACTTAGTGAGCACATCCAGGGCAGTGTCTGTTTGTTGAAATAAATCAATTGGTCTTCTCAAATCATGGTCTTCTCAATTACTTGTTATGCTCCTATGCTCCTAAGAGCTGGACAATGACTAAGAATGACAGAAGAATAGATGCCTTCAAGCTGTGGCGCTGGAGAAGAGTCTTGAACCTATCATGGACTGTCAAGAAAACCAATAGCTTTGTCTTGGAGAGGATGAAACCAAGTCTCTCATAGGATTTTGAAGCTCTGTCTCACATACTTTGGGCACATGGCCAGGAGAGATCATTCTTTGGAGAAGGACATCATGCTCAGAAGGGCAGAGAGACAGCACAGGAGAGGAAGACTCCAGATGAGATGGATTGTTACAGTATTTGGGGCAATGGGGATCGGTGTGTCAGAATTAGTGAGACTGGCTCAGGACAGGGCAGGGTTCAGAGCTGCTGTACAAAGGGTCGCTATACATCACAGGTACAACGGCACACAACAACAATATATTATATTGGCTGGGTTGGGGTTTTTTCTTTAGCCACTTTGTTTCATTTATGATAACTGTTTATATAAGAAAAAAACTAATGCAGATGTGAATTGTAAATTTTCAATGATAAATACATAGGGCAGGTTTTGGTAAACTAATTTATAATTAATATTACTGTTATTAGCTGTTGTTGGGGGAAATACAACTTATAGTGACCCTATTAACAACAGATTTGATCTTTTCCCAATCCTGTGCCAACCTTTCAATCTCCGATAAACTTGAGCCTGTTGTTCCAGTCACTGTAACAATCCATCTTTGCCAGGGTTTCTTTTCTTCCTGTGACCTTCTGTCTCTACCAGTATGGAGTCTTTTTCCAAAGATTCACATGTGCAAAATATGTGAAATGAAGTTTCATCATCCATAACTCTGAGAAAGACCCAAGTTGTACTTCCTCCCACATGGACTCATTTGGTTTTTGAGAGCCCAGGCGATATGAGTGACTCTTCTCCGATACTATAATTCAAAGACATTGCTGCTTCTTTTGTCATAGTTGTTTATTGTCCAACTTTCAGATGCATAGGATGTAATTAAAATTGTTGTTGTTACACGCCATTGAGTCAACAGAGACTCATAGCAACTGTATGTATCAGGAGCTGATTGTTTTTTAAATTGACACTCTTGTTCTTTGGAACTTTGGATAGATTTTTGTCTGAAGATTTGCCCAATGTATTACGTGTTTTGATTTGTTTTTTACTGAGTGGATTGAATTTTTTTTATTAATTTTAAGAACGTTTATAGAGACTTAGGGTTTCTTGTCATTCATTGTTGCACTTTTCTCTCTATTCACCCCCTCTCCCAATTCACTCTCTTCTCCTTGAAAAGAAAAAGAAAAACAAAAACTCTTCCATTGTTATGCAATCCCTTTCCCCAAGTCCACTGCGCTATGCAGCCTTCACTCTGGACTTCTGTAATGACAAGAATACCCATTCATATGTACCTTTTAAGTAGTTCTCTCCCTCACCTGTTCCAATGCAATATACATAATTCCTACCCTCCTTTTCTGTCTTCCCTCAATGCTAATGTCAGTCCTGTTTTACAACAATGGCCCTATGCAATATTTGTCCTTTTGTGACTGAGATATTTCACTCTGCATTACGTCCTTCAGGGCCATTCAATTTGCATAACATTTCATGAGTTCTCTGTTTTTCAATGCTGCATAGTATTCCATTGTGTGAATATACCATAGCTTCTCTATCCATTTGTTTGTTGCTGGGCGCTTGGGTTGTTTCCAGCTCTTTGCTATAGTGAACAAAGCCTCAATAAACATGGGTGTGCACATATCTGCTTGACTGGCAGTTATGTTCTCTTTAGGGTAAATTCCCTGTAGTGATATTGCTGGGTCAAATGATATTTTTATTTGAACTTTTTGAGAAAGCACCATACAGCCTTCCATAGTGGTTGCACCATTTTACACTCCCACCAACAGTGAATAAGGGTTTCAGTTTCTCCACAACCTAGACAGAATTTGATGTTTGCTGTTCTGTTAAATTTTGCTATTCTTACCGGGGTAAGATGATATCTCATAGTTGTTTTGATTTTCAACTCTCTTAAAGCTAGGGATTTTGAACATTTCTTCATGTGTTTATTTGCCATCTGAATGTCTTCTTTGGTAAAGTGTCTGTTTTTATTCTGTGCCCATTTTTCAATTGGGTTATTTACTTTTATCTTCTTGTGGTTGTTTAAGCCTCTTGTTCAGAGTCAACAAGACCTTGGGGAGGGTCTTTGTAATTAAAATTGGTTGTTATTATAATACAACGCTCTTCTGTCAATATGCTGTACTGAGAGAAAACCTGGAGTTGCAATGATGCTGAACCTTGTGCCATTGGGGTGTAATAATGATTACCCATGGTGAACAGAGCTTAGTGGAGCTCCCAGTTTAAGACAAGTTTGGAAGCAGGAGTGGCATCCATTTCCTAAACAACATGCTTCTGGAAACTCTATGAACTTTGATAAATGTCGATAGTTACAGAAAGGCTAAAGGTCTTTTGTTCATAGGGTCCCTATGAGTTGTGCTCAACTCGAAAGCAATCAACCAGAAATTTTGTATGAGTGCAAGATGTGTGACTGCTAAAGCCACCATCTTGTTTTTTTCTCTGAATCAATTCTTATATACAATTTGATAAAATTTATTTAAAACTTTATTTCTCTGTTCATGACAAATAATGGTAAGCAATTTTCCTTTTTATAGTGTATTCATCTGTTTATGATATTACAAATATGTTGGCCTTATAGAATGAGTTGGGAAATAATACCTCCTCTATAATATTTGATTAGCACAGAGCAAATGTTTAAAATAATTCAAAGGATAATTTGGAAGAAAGAAAAATAAATTAATGTGGAATAAATAAATTTTAAAAATCTAATACAAATAAATTATTGACAAACATTAACAATGTAAAAGATGTAAACATGGCTGTTGCTCATTGTTCACTGAAACCATGAGGTAGAAATCATTATCTCTGATTAACAAGTAAGAAGGCTGAAAACTTTTCATTCCCCCAATGTTATTTAGTTGAATATAGCTGGTGCACATAAAACTCTTTTCAAGTCTTCTTTCCCAACTACAGGTAGCATGACTCTACATGACCACCATCATTGCTGACTGCTACACGCACTGGAGTCAGGAGCTGTTGTTAAACCACGCTGGGAAAGAAAGGATTTGTTCAGTTGTGAGCAGGAGTCTGAGTTGTCTAAGTCTGGAGTTGTGAGAACTTGAGAAGGGGTCTTTCTTTCTGGCCCCAAATTCACTGGACAGATAACTATAGGCATTTCATTTTCTTCTTGATAGGACCAAGGCTCAATAAAAGGTCTCAGTAGTAAGCCTTCAAATTTATAATTCAGGGTGTAAATGAGAGACTGGTCATTTACATTGAAGAAGGAAATGTTTTCACCCTCATAGTCTAGGAAGATCCCCACACGTGTTGGGCTAGTATTTAGAGAGATACAAATTCTACGGGGATTGAATGTGAAATACCCATCTGCTTTGCTAAGGCCAACTATCCAATACCCTTCTTGAGGAGACAAAATTCCCTCCTTTCCCTTTCTATTCACATCATCTCGGCACACTCCCAATTGCCATCTTTTCTTGTGTCCCACATTGACTTCCCAGTAATGCTTCCCTGAAGTAAAGCACTGATGAGCCACCACACATTCTCTCTTAACAAATCTCTTCTCAAAAGCAGGAATTGCCTGGGGATCATCCAAATGGGTTACAGTTTTCATGTCAGAAATGTGGAGCCGAGGATGAGCTGTGTCTGGATCTAGAGTCACCTCCACTGGAATGTAGTTAGGGAGAGACAGGAAAAAAGAACGTGAATTATTGGGGAAGGGACATGGGTTGGGTCAAGTCCCATTTCAGATTAATGTACTTAGGGTGGTATAAACTAAGATATCAGAACACTCCCTTGTCTCCACCATATTCCTGACTTTATTTAGTGGCCTATAGATTTCCAATTTTGAGGTTGTAGACTTTATAGTACATCAATCTAGCCATTATTTGTGCATGAGAGTTCACCATTTGATTGAGACCTGAGTGACTCAGTTTTCAACTGGCTCTAATCCATCAGTTCCTTCCACCTTTTTTCACTTCACTTCCTTCCACCTCTACACAATCACTAAAGCCCTTAATTCTCTGCAATGGCTCAGGATAATTGCACCTGATCTTGTATTCTTCATCTGCTACCAGATGAAGTGTCAATTGATGGCTACATATCTGTCACAGGTCAACTTCCATGCCTACTAGACTCTGCCCCAAAATCAGTTTCTCAGCCATTGGTACCTGCATGTTTCCGGGCTTCTCTCCATTCTGAAAACAACCAGACAAAGCAACAAGATCAGTGTTCACATTCAGAAAGGAGGCAAGGACAAGGGAAAGGAAATTGCTCTAAAACTGTTTGCCCTGTTCTAGTATCATTTGTCTGTCCATTTGATTTGCTGAATACTATCGACATTCTTAAAAAAATTCCATCTCACTAAATATTTTACAGGCAATTTCAATGTTCTTAGAAATTTAGGATTTCTTTATAAGTTTGCCTCTATAAACACTTTTGAACATAAGCGTTTAAGGATCCATAACCTATAGGCATAAAGGAAAGAAAAGAGAGGGAGAGGAATAGCTTCTCTTTAAAAAAAAATCTGATTTATTTACAAAGTTTTAATACATTGTCAGAATAGCTTCTCTTACCTGCTTGTCTTTGCTTCCTTCTCCAGTCTGAAAGGAAAACAAAATAAGCAAAAATGTAAAAACAAAAATGTTAGAATTGTAGACCAGGGCCCAGTAGCAGAGGTGAGATGAAAGCTCTACCTATAATAACATGATTACCCAGTTTTTTTCCCTGAAGTTTCCTTAAAACAAAATGCAGGCTTTCAGTGGCTGATTCAAGCTTAGCTAAAGTGTCAAAGCATAAGATAAAAACTAATTGAGGAAAACACACCACAGGTTTTTAACTATTCCTAAGCATACTCAGACAATTCATGAACTCTACATTTTCTTTCTCCACAAAATATTCCAAGGTTCAAACATTGCAAATAATTTTAGAAGGTTTCTAGATCCTGCTGTAAATTCTAAGCCTCAAAGATCATTGAGGATAAATTCTTTCATTAATGGATGAGGAAAGTAAACCAGCTCCTCTCTTTGTCTTGCCTATGCTTTCTGTATAGTCTGGTGGATATTCTTAAAAAAATTTCTAGAAACATTGAAATTGCCTGTAAAATATTTAGTAAGATGGAATTTTTTTAAGAATGTCAATAGTATTCAACAAGTTCCAAATCATGTACCAAAGAGGGATCCAGAAAAACTGTCCAGTGAACTCTGAATATGCTATGACACTTACCCAGTTCAGTCCAAAGATTCCCTGGGGGAGGAGAAAAAAATAATATTGACTGACACAGAAACATAAACCAAAAAAATGACACCTTGCTCAAATGGAATGATCTGTGGGGACTGTAGAACACTGGCTTTTCTACAACTTTTCTCATTCCTCCTGTGCTATGTCCCAGTACTGAAATGCTTAATTTGTTCGGGGGTGGGGTGGGGGCGGTGGGTGGCGAATAAACATAATAACTTCATGAAGAGAAGGATTGATATTTGGGAGGATGTGGAACTGGAAATTGGGACCTAGCAGGAAAGGAGAGGAGGATGGTTGGGAGAGGGAAGTAGGGGAAATGGCATGCTTTCTCAATAGTGCTATATTAACTGTAAATGAGAAAACAAATTCTTGGTTGTGTAAACACTTTGTGGTGCTGAATATTATTTTACCCCATTTCCAAATAATTTTATTTCTTCTTCCTTAAATCTATTTAAAGGCAAAACTTTTCCCACAGAATTTTGGTGCTGCTTTAAGAAATTCATATAAGCTCTATAAGTATTGTGTGGAGTGCCAGTGCCTTAGTGATGATAAGGCATTGTGTTGCTGACTCAGTAGCACATGTTGATGCACCAGCTGCTCACAGGAGGAAGATGGGTATCAGTTACTGCCTCTGGAAACTTTCAAGTTATGAGTTTATTCTGACTCAACAGTAGTACATCACAACAGATATAGGAATTGAAAATTATTCTTTCCCTTATTCTGAACCACACATTAGAAAGTCTTTCTAAGATGATTTTCTTCTGAGAGATCCATTCAACTAGAATGAAGGATGTTGTTGTTTTTGTTAATTGCTGTCGAGTTGTAGATGACTCATAGTGAACCTATGAACACAAGTCCTGAACAACTGTATAATTTTCATCGTTTCTCTAAGTTCATAGAGTTTCCAGAGGCAAGCTATTTCAGAAGTGGACGCCACGAACTCTGTGATCTTGTTGATGGCTCTTAGGACTAGAAGAGAAGAACAAGGAAGTACATGGACAGCCTTACCTGAGCCAAGCTTCTCTCTGCCACTTACCCTGAGATTTGGAGTAGAAAATCTCCATTCTAATGACACCAACACTTAGAATCACACAGATTAATATCAGAAAAATAAAACCCAGGCGCCAAGGTGATGGATGGAAAAATGTCTCTGAAAAACAATCCCAGAAACATTTGGTAATTTTTATATATCTTTTTTTCCTATAATTTCTTCTAAAGGTTGAAGCATTGTGGTTTTTTACATGTTTTAATCTTACTGTATTTTATTTTTATACATAAAATTAAGTAGAAGTTTAATGTTACTTTTTATTAAATAAGATAACCTCTATTTCATCTCGGTTTATTAGCTGGGAATTCTTTTGATTAGCACCCTGTTTTTCACTTTCAAACTATTTGTGTGCTTTGGCTTAAGTTTTATTTGTTGTGGACAGCGTATAGATTTATCGTGTTTCATGGTCTTTTTCCTTCCTCTATTCATTCTTTAGAGAGGGCCTAGTGGCAAGAAGCTGCGCTGCAATCCCAAAGGCTCGGAAGGAGAAGGATGCGCAATCTCCTCTCGTGTGTGATTTACTGACTCTGAAAACCGGCAAAAGGGTCAGTTATGGGTCAGTTCCGAGTCTATGGTACACAACAACAATAACATTCATTTTTTGGCGGCCTAGTGGGAAGAATCTTTCCTTCAATCCCACAGATTGCATTTAGAATCTGCAAGCGGCTCCTCATGAGAGAGATGGACACTCTCCTCCCCTGCAATTACAGCCACTAAAAATCTGCTGGAGTGTTAGCTATGGGTCAGTTCAGACTTGATGGTAAACAACAACAATTCATTCTTCCATTCTCCTCCTCTTACATTGTGCATTTAGATCACTTATATTCACTGCAATTATAAATTGCTGTTGTTGTTGTTATGTGCCATCAAGTTGTCTGCTACTCATAGCGACCCTATGTGCAATAGCTCTAAACCCTGCTCTATCCTGTGCCAATCTCACTGTCTCTGACACACCTACCCCAATTACCCCAGTCACTGAATCAATCCTTATGGATGGTCAGCCTCTCCTGCGCTGTCCATTCACCCTTCCAAGCATGACAATCTTCTCCAAGGAGTGATCTGGTCTCTCCTGGCAACAAGTCCAAAATATGTCAGACGAAGCTTCAGAATCCTTGTCTCTAAAGAGCAGCCTGGTTTAACGCTCTCCAGAATGAATCTGTTTGTTTTCTTAGCAAACCATGGTATATTCAATACTCTTCTCCAACACCACAACTCAAAGCCATCAATTCTCCTTCTATCCTCCCTAGTCATTGTCCAGCTCTCTGATGCATAGCAAGTGATTGTAAAAATCATGGCCTGTATCAGGCATACCTTAGTCTCCAGAGTGACACCATTGCTCTTCGGTACTTTGGAGAGGTCCCTAATAGCAGACTTTCCCATCACATTATCAGTAGGTAATTAATTTAAGGAGCACTATAGTGTAGTGGGTTAAATTTTGGTTTGTTGACTGAAAGATTAGTAATTCAGAACCACACCTTGTTCCTTTAATGTGTCAATCTGATCTTGTAAAGATTTACCTCCTCAGAAAAACTATGGGGCAGTTCTATTCTGTCCTAAAAGGTTGGTAGGAAACAGAATTGACTTGAGGGCAGTGACAGTGAATTACTTCAGACATCCTTTTTTTAAAATAATTTTTTAATTTTAATTGCAATGATAATGAAAGTTTACAGAAAAGTTAGATTTTCATTCATTCATTGTTACACATTTTACTACTGCTTCCTCCCTTTCCACTCCCCCAGTTATTATTTTTTTTTCCTTCTGCCATCTTGTTACTGGGGTTTTTGTGTGTGTGCATCTTTTGCCTCTTTGCCCCTTACTGTCTCTAACGTTACCAATCTTTGTTGTTGGTGTTGTTGATTGCTTTTTTTTTATTTTCATTTGTATATATTTTA